TATGATGTTTACTCTGACCTACCTCCTGGTCATTTTGTATAGCCTTTTTTTTTTTTTTTTTTTTTTGAGAGAGAGAGATTTTTGCTATAGGGTGTGTGCACTCACCAGAGAGACAGAGAGACGGAAATTGAGAAATCCCTCCTTACAGGGGATGGCCATGCCACAATCTCATCTCCATTCTCCTTTTGGGATTTTGGGCATGCACGCACATGCGCCTGGTATCAGTGAATCTTTGACTTCACTCTTAGTAAAATATTCAGTGGTTGTGAAATCATTCAGGAGTAGGTTGTTTAGTTTCCATGTGTTTGTGTATTTTTGAGGATTTTTTTCTGAAGTTAATTTCAAGCTTAATTTCATTGTGGTTGGAGAAGAGGCTGGATATATTGGATTGTCAAAAAGTCATGACGGGAACCAGCAGTTAGCGTAATGGCTATGTCGCTGGACTCCCATGCAGTCGACCGCGGTTCGCGTCCCGGACCCGGTGGCTTAAAACTCACGCCAGGCGCGTGTGCGTGCGTGCCCAAGATCCCGAGAGGAGAATGGAGGAGAAGGGATTGCGGCATGACCATCCCCCCCAGGGGGTGATTTCTTGCTTTCTGTCTCTATGTCTTTCTCTGTCTGTCTGGCGAGCGCACGCGCCCTATAGCAAAAACATCTCCAAAAAAAAAAAAAGAAAAAAAAAGGTCATGACGTATTTTTCTATGTATTTCTATTGCGAAAATGTGTCAGGACTTTTTCGAGGACTCAATAGTTTCTGTGCCTTTGAATTTGTAACAGTTTCTTTTGTGCCCTATCATTTGATCAGTCTTCAAAAACATTTCATGCAGGTATGAGAAAAATGTGTATTTTGTCTTTGTTGGGTGGAAAGTTCCATAGATGTCTGTCAAGCCCATTTGATTTGTGGTATTGTGTAGATCCTGCGTCTCTTTGCTTATTTTTTGTCTAGATGATCTGTCCGAAGGAGAGAGTGGGGTGTTGAGGTCCCTAATGATTCGTGTGTGGCAGTTCTATCTCATGCTTAGACCTAGTAGTCTTTCTTTCACATCTTTGGGTGCTCCTGTGTTGGATGTGTATTTTTACATGTTACATGTTCTTGGTGAATTAGCCCTTTTCGTACTATGTAGTATCCTTGTTTCTTCTTGCAGTCATTGTCTCACAGCCTATTTTATCTGATATCAGTGTCATGATTCCAGCCTTGTTTTGACTTCCATTTGTATCTTGTTCCAGCCATTCACTTTCAGTCTATGTATGTCTTTATCCATTAGGTGTGTTTCTCGAAGGTATCAAAAAGAGGGTTTCTGGGTTTTATGTTTGTTTGTTTGTTTTTTAATCCATTCAGCCAGTCTGTGTCTTTTAACTGGAGAATTTCAACCATTTACATTCATCATTTATTATTGATATATGTGGATTTATCTCTGCCATCTTTTTAGCCATTTTCTTGGTTTTTTTTTTTGTTTGTTTTGTTTTGTTTTCTTGTTTCTGTTTGTCTCTTTCCTGATATAGCACTCCTTTCAGTACTTCCTGAAGAGCTGGTCTGTTGATAATTGTTTTCAGGTTTCATTTATTTGAGAATGATTTTTATCATCTTTTTATTTTTCCATTTGAAGGATAATCTTTCCAGTTATAGTATTCTTGGTTGAAATTGTTTTTCTTTTAGCATTTTGAATACATCTTCCCATTCTTTCCTTGCTTGCATTGTTTCAGTTGAGAAATCTAATAGTAACCTAATAGAATAATCTTTGTATCACTTGACATTTCCCTTTTGCCACTTTTAGAATCTTGTCTTTGTCTATGATTTTAACCATTTTGGCTATTGTGTTCTATGGAGAGAATCTTCTTAGGTCGATTCTACTTGGGGTCCTTTGTATTTCTTGGGTCTGGTTGTTTGAATGTTTCTTTAGTTTTGGAAAGTTTTTTGCAAGTATTTTATGGAATAGATTTTCAGTGCCCTTTTTAGATTCTCCACATGCTGGGATACCAATTATTTGGATGTTTGGCTGTTTAATGGTATCTAGTATTTCCTGTATGTTGTCCTGATTTTTTTTTTTTATTTCTTTATGCTTTTTGGTGGTTTTGTCTAACTCAGAGATTTCGTCTTCTAGATCAGAGTTGATCTTCTGCATGATTTAATCTGCTATTAATACTTTTGAGAGAGGTTTCGATTTCCTGTATCACAGTCTTCATCTCTAACAGTTCTGTTCAATTCTTTTTTATGGTGTCTATCTCCTCCTTCAAGTCATGGAAGGGCTTCCTCTTTTCCTGGAGTTGGTTGTCTGTTTTCTCTTGCATCTCATTTAGTTTTGTCACTATGAATATTATGAATTTTTTTTTCCTGACATTTCCATGAGTTCTGTTGTGCTATCTGTGGATGATGAGTGGTGGTTCTGTTCCCTTGAGGAAGAGATTTTTCCTTGGTTTATCATATTTCTTGTGCCTTTGCACTGGGTTTTAGTCATTTGATGGATTATACATTTCTTCCTAATTTCTTGACGTTGATTTTGTTATGTTAGGGGGGAAGAAGAGCTCTATTTCTCAGCTGTGTTCTTGGGAGAGGAGTGTATGTGGCCAGTGTTAGGTGTTGGTTTCTTTCCCAGTCTCATGACCAGAGTCACCTGGAGCTGAGCTAGGGAGAAAGTAGATGGCACACAGTGTGTTTAGCCTGCCATGCTGTTCAGCAAACTGAAATCTCAAATACACCTGGGCAGGGCAAGATGCAGTCGCAAGGATTCTAAGGTGCTGTCTTTCTACACCTGCTCTCTTCCTTGTTGTTGCTGGTTCAACCCCATAGGGGCTCGTGGCAGAAAGACCCTGCTGTGTGTATTTCATGTGCTTCCTGGTGGGAGATTTATAGCTATAGATTATTCTTCAATCTGTGAGAATCTTTTCCAGCTCTTTTTCTTCTAGCTTTGACAAGCGAGGCTCAGCACCTTTGCAGCTTGGACCCGCTCCGCCCCACCCTCGGTCCTGCTCAGGAGCCTTACCTGGTCATGGTTTTTTGTGTAACAGGAGATACAACCACACAGAAGGGTGGTTACTGCCTACTAGTCTGTAAGACTCAAACAAGTCCCTGCGTTATACAATCACTGACCTAGGATGGGCCTGACGGTCCCAAATGCAGGTGCAAAGGTGGTGCAGCGAGGTTAGATGCCTGCCAGGAAGGCCCCTCAGAGCCAGGAGAGGCTCTCGTGCCTCATACCTGCTTCAGCTGCAGGCTTTAGAGGGACGTTTCCAGGTGCTGCTCCAGGGTTAGGGCACTTGTCTTCCTTCTGTCTTTCTGTTGCTTTCCTGGATATTGAATCGTGCAAATTCCCGAGGTCCCGTGGAAGTCTGAGTTGTTTTTGTGGGTTTTGTGCCTTTCTCCATCTCCTATGAGAGACCATCTCCTACTCCTAACAGCTCGTCCCGAGTGTCTTGGTTTCAAATGCTGGAGATGAATCCTAGAGCTTTAAAGAGAGAACCCCAAGCTGTCTGCCCACTGCCTTGCCTGACTGTAATTTTGGCTGCTGACTGTCATGCCTCCTGAACTGCCTCAGACATTGAAAAAGGACCATCTGCAGCAATTTGAACCTCTAGCTATCAGGGTATAAGAGTTTCTTTCTGGAATGGTCTCTAAGGCCCACTTTTCAGCTTCATAATTTTGATGTAAATTCTGATAATTTTTAAATTTTGTTTAAAAATTACACTGTAGGGACCAGCATGTCGCTGGTTATGTCGCTGGACTCCCACATGGTTGACTGTGGTTCGAGTACTGGACCCGATGACTTAAAAAACTCACCCAGGGGGTGGGTGCATGCATGCCCAAAATCCCAGGAGGCGAGGGGAGGAGAAGGGCTGTGGTGTGGCCATCCCCCCTCAGGGGTGATTTCTCACTGTCTGTCTGTCTGTCTTTCTCTCTCTGGCAAGTGCACATGCCCTATAGTGAAAATATCTAAAAAAAAGAAACTATATACTTTGGACCTCCACATCCGTGTATTCTTCATCCATGGATTCAACTACTGTGACTTGAAAATATTTACTGCTGTTCAGGTACTAGGCCTGGCAGCTTGCTTTCTCACTTTCCTTCTCTTTCTTTGTCTCTCTCTGGTGAGTGCAAATGCCTTGTAGCAAATTAAAAATAATAATGATGACAATAAACACAATTTTGAAAACACAACAATAAAAATGTAAATTTTAAAATATGGTATACCAAGTATTTACATAGCATTTACATTGTGCTGGGGATGAAAAGTAATTCAGAGAGGACTTACAGTGTGCGGGCAGATGTGCACTGGTTGTATGGAAATAGCTGCCTTTCTGTGTGAGGGAACTGAGCAACGGCGGATTTTCTGTGGTGTCTGTAGAACTAGTCTAGGGACAACTGTGTTCGCCAATCCCAGATATGTCAGGGTGTACCGCACTGTGGGATCAGACAGGGCCCCACAGAGAAGCGTTCTTGGCTCTGGGTTGAACCTTTGGTGCAGAACCCTGTCCTCTCTCCTCTGTTTCATTGCTGCAGGGAGCATGTGCGTGAGAGAGAGAGAGAGAGAGTGCACACCCTCCAGTGAGGCCTGGAGGTCACGCCACAGACCCCTGTCCTCCCATTCTCCATCCCGTTAGGATCCTGAGCACGTGGAGCATGGTGGGCCTCAAATCTGGCCACAGTGTGAGACCTGCTTCCTCAGCACAGCGTCCAGCTGCCGCACCCTGGGGCTGTCCATAGAGCTCTGTTCTCGTGGCACTGACCTCTGATAACAGGGATTATGATACTTTGCTTATTTGCATAGTTCCCATTAACTGGATTTTTTGCTTCCAAATACGTGTTGATTTCTTAGTTGGAACTGCTCTCTGTCTCAGCTCATTGGTCACCTGTGCTGAGCAAGGTAGTTATTTTGGTGGGAGCTTGGAGGGAAGTGCATGGCCCTTCTCCAGGGTAGGGGTGGTAGAAGGAATAGAACTTGCTCGTTCTTGTGTGCATGAGAGTGATGTTGTCTGTACTGTTGCTACTCTGCTTTGTCTGTCAGTATTTCAGATGGAAGGAGGCCTCTATCTTTATCTGCGGGTGCTTGGAGCATCTTTGGAAGAGGAGGCAACGGTGAGAAGGAGAAGCTCTCCCTGCAGGACATAGCCGAGCTGATCCGATCCGGAGCCTGCCAGAGGGTGGTGGCCATGGTAGGGGCCGGCATTAGCACGCCCAGCGGCATTCCGGACTTCAGGTACTGCCTGCAGCCCCCACATGCCTCGCACACAACCTTGGGGTCATGCCATGTCCGTGCCGTGGTCCTCAGGCCCGAGGACTCCTCCTTTTCTTGCCAGATCTCCAGGAAGTGGCCTCTACAGCAACCTCCAGCAGTATGACATTCCGTACCCTGAGGCTATTTTCGAACTCACATTTTTCTTTCACAACCCCAAGCCCTTTTTCACTCTGGCCAAGGAGCTCTACCCTGGGAACTACAGGCCCAATGCCACACACTACTTCCTGCGGCTGCTGCACGACAAGGGGCTGCTTCTACGGCTGTACACACAGAACATCGACGGGCTCGAGAGAGGTGAGCCCTCCATGCCAGCTCCCACCTCTGCCCTGCAGAGAGGGCTCAGCTATCTGGTTGTGGGTGGGGCTGAGGCCTCGTGCTTCCTACCCCTGGGACTGTTTTTTCTTGTTTTTTTTTAGGTTTTTGCCATAGGGTGCATGTGCTTACCAGAGAGAGAGAGAGAGAGGAGGGAAAGTGAGGAATGACCCCCTGGAGGTATGGGATATGGCTATGCCGTAATTCCCTGTCCTCCATTCTTCTCCAGGGATTTTGGGCGTGCATACACATGCACCAAGCATGATTTTCAAGCTACGGGGTCTGGAGTTCAAGACACGGTTTGCCATATTGGAATCTAGCACCTTAACCACCACACTACCTTGGGATTGTTTTTGAGCCGATCAGTTATGGCTTTGTTTCCAAAAAAAAATTGTCCACAGTTGAGACATCAGTGTAGGCTCTTCTCTTGGCATACTGCTGGACTGTGAATTTGGGACAAAAACATTAACATTAGTTTGCTAATCTGACATGATGATCTATTTCTTTTTTTAAAAAAAATTAGGAGATTTTTTTTTTTAAGCACACAAAAATAAAGAGAGCGGATGAATGACTGTTCGTGTCCTCATCACCCAGCTTCTACCATCAGCACACATTTGTCCTCCCTCACCTTCCTCACTCCTGGGTTATTTATTGATTGAGTTTTAAAAGTTTGTCTGTTTACCCCATTAGTGAGAGAGACGGCGAGAGGCCGAGATACAGCACCCTTGAAAGGTCTTGATGGCAGCCTGAGTCATGAGCTGGCATCCCCAGTGAAATCTCTGGACTTGAACTGAGGCTCTCCCGCTGTGGGTCTGCCTCACAGATGGCTGCGTGTTATTACTGGCCCTCCCACCCCCACCAGATTATTGTGAAGCAGTTCTCTCACATCATGATTTTAATCTAGAAAGAACTATTATTGGGTAGCTCTAGAAGATAAAAAATTTTAAAAGCGGGAACCAGCAGTTAGCGTAATGGCTATGTCGCTGGACTCCCACGTAGTCGACCGCGGTTTGTGTCCCGGACCCGGTGGCTTAAAACTCACGCCGGGCGCGTGTGCGTGCGTGCCCAAGATCCCGAGAGAAGAGTGGAGGAGAAGGGATTGCGGCGTGACTATCCCTCCTGGGGGGTGATTTCTCGCTTTCTGTCTCTATGTCTCTCTCTGTCTGTCTGGTGAGCGCACGTGCCCTACAGTGAAAATCTCTCCAAAAAAAAAAAATTTTAAAAGCATAACTCAATACCAGTTTCACCCCAAAGAATAACTAATAATTGGGACCAGCAGTTGGTGTAATGGCTATGTCGCTGGACTCCCACGTAGTCGACCACAGTTCGAGTCTCGGACCCAGCGGCTTAAACTCATGCCGGGCACATGTGCGTGCGTGCCCAAGATCCCAAGAGGAGAACGGAGGAGAAGGGATTGCGGCATGGCCATCCCCCCCCCCGGGGGGTGATTTCTCGCTTCCTGTCTCTCTGTCTCTCTCTGTCTGGTGAGTGCACGCACCCTATAGCAAAAACCTCTCCCAAAAAAGAAAGAAAGAAAAAAGAATAACTAATAATTGTTTAGTATTGTCAAACTCAGTCTATGGTGATTTCTTTTATAAAATTGACCTTTTCCTTCTGAGAGACAAGGAGAGACAGACATGCACCCCAACAGGGTGCCTGTGCCGTAATCCACCGCGAGACCCCGCTGGCCTGGTCATCGGCAGGTACCTGCCTGGCATGCTGAGGAGAGACCCAGTGTGACCCAGTCACATTACTGCTGCCCTGCTGCCTGGTCCTGAGGTGGCCATAGCCAGAGAGTCACGGCTTGTACCGCCTCTCGCTGTGCATCTTAGAGGTGCGTTTGATAGCACGCATCTTTGGTAGCACGCATTTTTTTTTTTTTTTGAACAGGTAGTGAGACAGACACTGAGCTGGTTTGTCTGCTTTGAGGCAGCGGCAGCCCAGCTGGTCTAGCTGTGCTGTGATTTAGAAAGAGGAGTAGGTGGGGCCAGCCAGTGGTGTGGTGCTTAGGGCCACTGGAGCCCGCGTGGCCGACCGTGTCGTTTGAGTCCTGGACTGGCGGCCTGGACAATGCGCTTGGCATGTGTGCCCGAAATCCTGCGAGGAGGATGGAGAAGGGGTCGTGCTGTGGCCAGTCCTCCTGGGGGTCTCTCACATCCCCTCAGTGCCCCCACCCCTGCTGCGATCACACACACCCTATAGCGAATTCAAAAAAAAAAAAAGGATGAGTAACCTCGACTGCAGAAACGTGCTTCTCTGTGAGAGAATTCGGTAACAGTAGATACCGCGCCGTGGAGGGCTGTTCTGCTGTGGACGCGTCAGGCAGGCCCTGTGGGAAGGCAGGAGCTGCAGGATCAGGACACTGACCGTGACGCGGGCAGCTCCTGACCTGGGGCCAGGTCTGTCCACTGCGGCCTCTTAGAGCCGGGCTGTGGTAACAGGTGCCTGTCCTAAGGAGTCACTTTTTGTCTGGTTTTTTCCCACTCACCAGTTTTTCTGTGTATTTATATCCTCATTTTACTTGGCATCTGCAGAAGAGCAAATGTGCTCAGAGGTATTAGATGTAATTTTATCTGAACTCACATCCTATTTTTTCCTGCTGTATTTTGACAGGCTTCCCTTTCACCATGATTTGGCTCCAGTGAGGAGCCCCTGCCCCCGTGCCTCATTCTGCGTGGTGGAGTATCGTCTGTCATGATGTAGGCAGGGACCTCAGGCTTTACCCAGGGCTGCAGCTCTCCCGGAAGGCCTCCCGAGCCTAGAGGTTATGCTGTGGGTTTGTACACCCGCCGCAGAGGCAACGACACTTAGCTTTGGTTTGAATTTCAGAGTCTGGCATCCCTGACTCAAAATTGGTTGAAGCTCATGGGACCTTTGCCTCTGCCACCTGCACAGTCTGTCGAAGAGCCTTCCCAGGGGAGGACTTCCGGGTGAGTTACCCACTGATGGTCTCTCCCCACTGCACTGCATGGAGGAGCTCATCTGGAAAAGGGGTATTTTATAAGCGTTGTGTTGGGAGAACAAGAGTACTTGACAGTATGCAGATATTTTCTTTGCTTTTAAATTAGAAAAGTAGTATGCACTTCTAAAAAATTAAGGTGAGAGCCAGCAGGTGGCATGGTAGTTAAGTGGCTGGACTCCCACATGGCTGACTATAGTTCAAGTCCTGGACCTTGTGGCTTGCTTTCTCACGTTCTCTCTCTCTCTCGCTCGCTCACTCACCTTGTAGCAAATTTTAAAAATAACAATAATGATATATAAAATGAAATAATTCTTTTAAAAAATTTAAGGTGATATAGAAACATTTAAGAAAATGAATCTCCCTTCAACCAACTCCAATTGCCCACTTTTAAAAAGTTTTATTTATTTATTTTTTCTACTATGGGGAGAGAGTGAGAGAGACAGGCAGGCGTCTCCAGCAGGGACTTCACTCTGCAATCCACCTCCAGTCTAGCCAGCCCAGATCACAGGTGTGCAAGCGAGTGCCCGTGTGTGCAGGTAAGTCCTGGGAGGTGAACCCAGGACCTACTCAGACCCACTTCCTGTGCAGATCTAGTTATGTGACTGCTACGTCACCAACTAGCACCCTCTTGCCCACTTCTGTATTGTTTTGTTTTTAATTTTGCTGTAGAGCACATACACTTGCCAGACAGACAGACAAAGAGAGAGGGAAAGCTAGAAAGAACTCCCAAGAGGGGGTTCCTTCTCCTCCATTCTCTTGGGATGTTGACCACACATGTACAATACCAGGCGTTTTTCTCGAGCTGCTGGGTGTGGGATTCAAACCATGCACTTGGCCATGTGGGAACCAGTACCCTAACCTCCATGCCACTGGCTGGTCCTCTACTGCACATTGTTTTATTGTTTTTTTTTTAAGAGTTATTTTTCTTTTTCTTTCTTTCTTTTTTTTTTTTTTTTTTTTTTTTGAGAGGCTTTTGCTATAGGGTGCGTGTGCTCGCCAGACAGACAGAGAGACAGAGAAAAAGCGAGAAATCACCCCCCCCCCGCCATGGGAATGGCCACGCTGCAATCCCTTCTCCTCCATTCTCCTCTTGGGATCTTGGGCACGCACACACACACACGCTCGGCGTGAGTGGTCTGTGCCCCAAACCTGGTTTGACTTTTTAAAAAAAAAAAAAAAAAAATACAGTATGAAACCTGTGGCTAGTGCTCTGTGTACTTTTGTATTTCTTAGAATAGAATCAAGTAGAAAAATCTTAACAAATAATGATTAAACTCTGAGATATTGTCGTGGCATAGGACCATGTCATTAATTAATTAATACATGAAATTCACAGCAGAGGTGGCAGCGACACTAAGCTTTTGTTTGAGTTTTGCTGTCTGGAATCCCTGACTCAAAGCTGGCCGAAGCTCACCATCGCCTCTTCCACCTGCCCGACATAGAATGAAGCATTTTAAAGTGCACAGCTCATTGGCATTTAGTACATCCACAGTGTTGTGCAATCTCACCTCTATGTAGTTCCAACACACTTTCACCACCTCAGAGGAACTCTGACCCAGAGAGCCACTCCCCACCTCCCCTCCTCCAGCCCCTGGCAACGCCAGTGTCCTTCCTGTCTCTGCAGAGGTATCTATTCTGGGTATTTCACACAGGTGGAAATGATTCAGTACATGGCCTTTGTGTCTGCCTTCTTTCACTGAACATAACGTTTTGCCATAGGGCGGTGCCACCACGCCCTCACTGAACATAACGTTTTAATGGTTCGTTTACATTGTTGCTTGTGTCGGTACTCCATCCTTTTTATGGCTGATGATATCCCATCAGTGTGTTCACCGCAATTTGTGTATATATTTATACGTTGGGTCATTGCCTGCTTTTTCTATTGTGAATAGTTCTGCCGGGAACGTGCGTGTGAAGGATCCATTTGAGTCGCTGTTTTCTATGTGGTCTGGGTTTGAAAGCCAGTTCCTGGCAATGGAGACCTGGAGTGTGGGTGGCTTGGTCTATGTTAGAGTTTGAATTTTATCCTCAAGATCACTGAGAGACATTGAAGGATTTATAAGCAGGAAAATGATGTGGAGGGATTTTCATTTTAAAGAGATTTTATGGGCAACAGGTTGGATTTTTTTGAGGGTTCAGGGGCCTACTGTAGGGAGACAGGTACTCTGGGTAAGAGATGGTGAGGGCCTGGCCAAGCAGTAGCAGTGGAGACAGAGTGGAGTGGTTTGAAGAGATCTAAGACGCAGAGCAGGCTGGAGATGGGAGAGAAGAGGGGTTTAGGACAGTGTCCTAAGCACAAGTCCTCTGGGCACGCCTGTCCAGGGGGAGCTCAGAAAAGAGATGTGGGCAGAACGTATACATCTGAGACTCCTCATAGAATAGAGAGTGGAAATTATGATTGTAGATGAAGTCTTTCTTTTTATAAAAAAATTCAAATTAATTGGAAGACCTTTCTTTAATACGAAGCGAGAGTAGGTGCTGGTAAACTTGTGAAAACTCGGCATCATGCAGTAAGCACCCCAGACTCATGAGTTTCTTTCTGGAATTCCAAAATCGAAAGGATTGTTAGGGTTCCCTACTGAGGCCCCAGTGAGGTGTCCTGGAAGGCTGAGTGTCGGCAGGGCTGGGCAGGAGAGGGGCCCCTTCTGGGAGGCATGCAGGGCTCAGCCCTGTGTCTGGGCTCAGGCTGAGCCAGCACTGAGGGTCACTGCCTCCAGCTCATGGCCATCCATCCTTCCTCTGGGACCTCCTGTTCACTGTTCAAGTCCGGCCCTTTGAAGTCTACCTACACTTCTTTTCCGCCCCTAATTACAGGTGTTCTCTAACAATACATACATATTTTGGCTGATTATCAAAAATTACACAAACGTGTCTCATAAATCCCGTATTCTGCAACACTAGAAGACGTTTTACTTTACAGAGCAGTTCACATACCCCCTCTCCTGGCATCGAGGTCTCTGCTGTCCTTGCTGTTTGATGGTAGTTTCGTGAAGTCAGTTGAGGTTTGCCTTGTGGCCTTAGGTATCCATTTTTGTAATGTTCTGTGTATATGTGAAAAGTAAGTTTATTCTGTGGTTGCTGAATGTGTTGTTCTGCATATATGGTTATAAAAGTAAGTTTAATCCTGTTTCAATCTTGTATATCATTACCTTTTTAAAAATTCTTTGCTCTATTAAATTTCAAGAGCGTTGTGTTAAAATGTCCCATGTGATGGGGGGGGTTCTTTTTACTTCTATTTCTGTATGTGTTTTGAGATAAAGTGATAGAGGTATACACATGTGTACAATTGTTTTATCCTCCTGTATCTCTTGGTCGGTATTCTTTGTCATGCTTTTACTTTGTCTTCCTGAAGACTGAAACCATCACCACCATCTTATTTTTAGATGTGTTCTTCTATAAAATATGTAGCTAGATTTTAGTTTTTAATCCAGTTGGATGATTTTTAAAAATTTGATAATTAGTGCTTAGGTCACTGTGATTACTGAGAGATCTGACTTTAGAAGTACCGTCTTATTCTGTGTTCTATATTTTCCCTGCTGCTTATTACTGCTTTTGTTTTTCACTGTATGAACTTGGAAGTTATGCACTATTTCTACCCTTTTAATGGTAACCCTAAAATTACCACAGTCACACTTTTTGTTTTCACATTTAAAATACTATTTTTATTACAGGAACACACACACACACACACACACACACACACACAACATAAAGTTTACCACTAACCGTTCTTAAGTGTAGTTTAGCTGCGCTCCGTATATTCATAATGTTGCACAACCATCAGTACCGTCTATCTCTAGAGCTTTCTTTCTCATCCCACATTGCAATTGCATACCTGCTAAATGCTAACTCCATATTCCTCCCTCCTCCTGGCCTACGGTAACCTCTAGTCCGTTTTCTGTTTCTGGGAATGTGACTACCCTGGTAGCTCATATGAGTGGAGTCCTAAAGTGTTTGTATTGTCTTTTCATATTTATTTATTTATCTCTTCTATGAGTGAGAGAATCAGAGAGGGAACTCCCGAGAGAGTCTTGACATCCTGATCCAGTCCAAGCTTCCATCTGGCTCTGGCTCTCGGGCACATGTGTGTGACATACTCAGGGAGGTCTCTGGACTTGAGCCAGGAACCTTCCCATGTGGGTTGCCCAGAGAATGCTGTGTTTACGATGCACCACCATCTAGACCCTGTACTTTGGTGACTAGTGTATTTCTTTTTTTAAAAAAAAATTTATTTTAATTTAATTTAATTTATTTTAATCTGACTAGAGGGGCAGAGAGAGAGAGAGAAGGTGAGAAGGCGAGAAGGCAAACCTCCAGGTCCAGGACTCGAACCACAGTCGGCCATGTGGGAGTCCAGTACCATTAACCACCACACCACCTGCCAGCCCCATTGTATTTCACTTAGCATAATGTTGTGAAGATTTGGCAAAGTTGTACCAGCATTTGTCAGAATTTACTTCTTTTTTAAGTTTGGATAATATTTCAGTGTATATTAATATTTCATTGTATATATACATATACATATGTACATATGTGCATATATATTTGTATATGTGTGTGTATATATAAGTGTCTATATATATTTGTGTGTATATATGTGTGTATATGTGTGAGTATATTTGTATATATATGTGTGTATATATGTATATGTATGTGTGTATGTGTGTATATATGTGTGTGTATATTTGTATATATGTGTGTATATATTTATGTGTGTATATATATGTATATATAGTGTATGTATATGTATTTGTATATATGTGTGTGTATTTGCATATATATGTGTGCATGTATAGATATTTGTATATATATGTGTGTATATCTGTGTGTATATACATATTTATATATATGTTTGTGTATATATTTATTTATATGTGTATGTATATTTGTATATATATGTGTGTGTGTATATATATTTCCATATGTGTGTGTGTGTATATATTTGTATATATATGTGTGTATGTGTAC